ACTCTCCCCTCGGTGTCTTCTTTTCTCCTTTCCTTTTCTCCTTTTCTCCTTATATCTATCCATCGAAGATACAAAAGAAGGACAGAAAGAGAGAGACAGAATAAGAAAGAGAATGGGAGAAAGGGAGAGAGAGAGAGAGAGAGAGAGGGGGGGGAGAGAGAAAATACAGACCTAGCAAAAGAGTAATAAATTGTCTTGAACAATAAACCATAAAAATGTTTTGCACCTCTATCAACACTCTTTAGATTATTTAGGAGACGGGCTACTTTGACCCGGCCCGTTTAAGCCAAACTTGGGGGAGGGAGGGGCGGGAATGGAGCGTTCCAGCAGACAAACGGAGATAGTTTGTCTTGTAAGATAGTTTTCCAATAAATTGATCGTTCTCGTGTCTTTTTCTTGCAATGGTGAAAAGCCAAATCGTAATACTACAAAGTTTGTTACTGACAGACAGACAGACAGGAAGACAGACAGACAGATAGATGGATAGACAGCTAGACAGACAGACACATTGGCAGATAGACAGAAGGATGGATGGATAGGCTGGCAGACGGACCCGATAGATAGATAGATAGATAGATAGATAGATAGATAGATAGATAGGTAATCTGACAAATCTTGCACGGTCAACAATCAATGTGGCTGCACAGTTTATATGACTGCACGGACGAGTAAGACATTCGGACAAAATAAATAACAAAAGGAAAGGAAAGAAGTACAATGTATCATTCGCACCCTCCAAAAACACCATTGTCTATTGTTACAGAGTTCTTAATCAGAGACCCGAAATTAAGTCATTCGGACTTGTGGTAACAGGACAATATAGATATCACAGGTTTTCACTTTTGATAGTTTCTCAAAATAGAAATTTAAAAAAATTAAATGAATGAAATAATATGTCTTATCTAACCCGCTTTTGAACAGAACCATTCAGCAACATTGCTCCTGAATGCAATTACGAGTAATTTACAGATTGCCATGGAGAGGTGGGGTTTGAATTAGCGGGTGGAGGGAGGAAATAATTGATTACTGGAAGGCTTGTCTTCAAAATCTAAAATATCCAATTTCTTCCCCATGCTTTAACTCCGATGTTTCGCTGAGTGCCGTCCTGTACTTTTGCTAAAGAAGGTATGGAATGACTCAGTTTGACACACGACCTGTGCGTTGTCTTTTAACCTTCCTAAACCAACTGATGGCAGGCATATACAGTTGGGTCCGGTAAGACACACACTTATGCTATTCCAATTATTCGATATCATCAGACGTTATACTTACTTACTTTACTTTTTCATCTTTTTGGGGGGAATTTCACAAGTAGGATAAGTCATGGTCTACTACCATAACTCATGTAATCAATAATTATTTTTACGTAAGGACGGCTATGCAGCTCTTTCATTTGGAATTGTAATTTCTCATGGTTTCCTTGGCTCTCTTCCACCTTTTGCGAGATCTTCATTTTACTTTATAGCATCAAACATTCACTCTAAATCCACCTTTACACATCCACAACAGTGAAGGGCTCACAATCCAGAACGCATTCTATTGTGTTTGTGTCCAATAGCCGTATGGTCGAGAACGTTATCTCTGAACATTCTCGTTCAATCGCAAAGGCCGTTGGTCAAGCAGAGGCTAATGCCCTGAGACCAACATTGGACGTGATACAGGTGAATGGTTGGAGAGCTCCACTAGTAGGCCCTACTTCTTTACTTTCCCTCTGTTGTTTCTGTTTGTCTGTTTTCCTTTTCAACAGCTCTAAATGACCATTATTGTGTCGATGTGCTTCTCTTCTCTCCCTTTCAAAACTCAAACTTGATATAATAGATCGGCCAAACTTCTGTCTCTGCCGACCTTCAGGCAGCCTACATCACATAGAACTCTCTGTCTTTCTTTTCTAATTTCTACTTTACCAGGCTTTAAAATACCACATTTGAAATTTGCATATATAATTATTAATTCAGAATAATACAAATTTGAGAATGTTTTACCTTCTGCTTGAACATAAGTCCACAATCCGAGCAGGAGAAGGCAAGAGAGGCGGAGACTGACTTGGGGACGCGCCATTTTGCAAGCGGCGTCAATGTTTAAACTGAGACCGAGAGCAACGCGTTCGAAAAATAGGGTCACTCTGATAACAACCGGCGAGATAATGAGGACCGACGAACAGACGTGACTAATGCTGTACCTGGCCTTTTTTTTAGAGGGGGTGTCACCAGATCCCTCTTTGAAAGAAGTGCGCATTGGTGCAACGCAGAATTCTGATAGGTTTGAGATAAACGCCCACGTAGTATGCTTGTTCCCCCCCCCCCCACTCTTCCCCCATTTACGATGACATGTCACCGGCAATTTGGCGCGACTCTGAGCTTGCTTGACCTTTTTCTCTTTCTTGTTTTCGGTCGTCAAACCGGATATAGTAGCATTACAATAATCTAATTTGGATAAAATCAGTGTTGTTATTGATGTCTTGGCTGCCCCTTTAGTTAAATAGTTTCGTACACTGCCAATTTTTAAAGCGGGGAATAGATACTTTAGCTGAGCTAGCTACTTTGGGAGAATATAGACATAATATTGTAATCCAACTGAGCCCCTAGGTTTATTAAGACTTCTTTTTGAACTAATGGTATGATTGTTGATGTCAATTTATAATTCTGCAAGATTCCTTATGGCTTTTGTATTTCCACTGAACATTATTTACGTCTTGACATCATCCAGTTTCAATTTATTACTGGTCACCCATATTTTAAATTGTTGAATACATTGCTCAGTGGAGTCGACTTAAGTGATATTTGATCGAAGTCAATAAACTTATAAATATGAGTATCATTGGCATAAAAATGGTAATTCATACCATTTTGTCTTGAAAAATCAGCAATAGGCTGTAAATAAGACAGGTCCAAGAACAAACCCCCGAGAAGCACCAAATCTGAGCAAAACATTATCTTTACACGTGCCTACAACCACAACTGCTTGTTTTCGATCTTTAAGATATGACTCAAACCATTGCAGGACAGTACCCTTTACGCCAAAAATAGTATTTAGTCTCTCGAGTAAAATGTCATGATCAATGGCATTGAAAGTTACAAAAGAGTAAGAAGACACACCTTTCTTTCATCAGTTCCTTTTAAGATATCAGTACAGACCTTAAGTAACGCTATCTCGTTTATTGACCTTTTAAAAATTTACTGCCATCTGTTTCATTGATAACATTATTCCATAATTTTATTTTTTTTATAACCGAGCGCGCTTAAAATAGCGGATCCTTGATAAGTATGTCGTAGTTTAAATCAATGACGTTCCGAACAGTCATCCCGACCTTCGAAGAAAAAATATTCTTAATAAGCAGGGTAGACTCTTGTCCGATTAGTCGTGTGTGTTGATTGATCAAGTCAAGACTGGATATAAGATCAGTCTAAAAACACATATATATTTTTTAATGATAAAGAAAAGGAAATTCACCAAGAGTACTAAATGCAGACCGAAGAGGCACTGAAAATAAAAAAGCTCCTAGGTTTGGGGGTATTAACCAAACATTCGCCTGCCTACTCAGCAGTCGCTGTGGGGTTTGATCAAATAACAGACGGGGAGCATGCATTGTTTATTCGGCTCTCCTTCATTGAAAGCTCTAACGATCAAAGCGCTTGAGGAGCCCCTTAAACATTTACTTTTCAATGAGGGCAATGAAAACTATCTGTAACATTTCCAGGTTCTGGATATAGATATCTTTATCAGATCATCGCTAGATACACATTTTGTGTCTTCCAACGGATACAGGGAATCGGATGTTTCATGTCTATCCCCCCCCCCCCCAACCCTCTGAATTAAGTCGGCGGACATTACTGCATACCATAACAAGAGTTAAGGAATCGTGTGCAATGGAATGAGAGTAACTTGTGAATGACACGAAAATAAAAACTGGGAACTAAAAAAGCCTTATGGACGTCCGGTATCAATTAAGAACAAATTAAGTAAAGGTTGTTTTTTTGCTTGTTTGTTTGCTCGTTTGTTTGTTTGTTAGCTTGTTTGTTTGTTTTTGTTATTGTTTGTTTTTGCTTTTTGTGGGTTGCTTTTTTTGTATTTTATTTTCAAACTAAAACGAAGGCTGTGGATAATTTCTCAAGTCTTCAGTCAGAACACAGAAGAAACTGCTCCTGCAGTAGAACTGTTTATTAAACTCCATTTAATCTGAGACATAGAGTGAGAGCAACGCATTCGAAAAATAGGGTCACCTTGATAACAACCTACGAAGTAATAATGAGGACCGATGAACAGACGTGACTATTATATATAGTGCTGTCAAAAATATTTGGCACAACTTATTGTCAAATATTTTCTAAAATATCAAACATAGACTTTCCAGCTTTTGAGCAAGGTCAAACTTGATGTCGAAGGCTAGAGGCGATATAAGAAAGAGTACAAAACAAGAAAAGAAGGAGCAAACCACACCATAACACCCGTCAAAACGCCAACAGTTAATAAGGCGTCTACCTGCCGCTCCTTTTGTATTGCTGTATATTCTTGGTAAACGAACTTTGGCATTTCGTTTACTAGGTACAAAATTTATTTCCTTAATTCGATTACTATGCTAATGACAGGAAAGACCGACAGGTTTGTGAGTGTGTGTGTGTGTGTGTGTGTGTGTGTGTGTGTGTGTGTGTGTGTGTGTGTCTCTGTCTTTCTCCAGCAGTAATGGATAACAGAGTGACAGAGTGATAACGGAAAAGAAACGAAAACGAATGAGAACAAACAAAAAGAACCCTCTCAGGTTCCCTTTGGCAGTGACCCTTTTACAACGAGCACACGCCAAGTTTATACTTCCAATAAGCCCTACAGCACCTTATGCAGGGGTTAGGGGCTCAAAGTGAAGAAAGATTTGTGGAGGGGTGGGGGAATAGGGTAGTCGGCGAGGTGGGGTGGAGTGGAGAATGACGAAGTGCAAATAAGGGAATTTCCAGGGGATTCCCCTGTGCGATAAGTCGGTGGACAAAGAAAGAAACACGTTCAGTGGTCAGATTATACATGTATTGACAACATACGGTTGATACTGTCAAAAAACGTCCTTCTATTTTTAAGGGGAAAATCTTTTGTTTTAGACAAGTAGACATCTTGGACAGTACCATTACAATGTTGAAAAAAAATTAATAAAACGGGTTAAGCGGAAACTGGTTGTAATATTAGTATTATCATTATCATTATTATTATTATTATTATATTATTATTATTATTATTATTATTATTATTATTATTACTATTATTATTAATAATAATATTATTATTATTATTATTACTATTATTATTATGGAAGTTGTAGCGCTACCCACTGGGGACCCTGCAGTCCCCTAGCGCTGCTTTGTGCACATGTGGACTGCATAGAAACACACACACACCCCAAGCAGTCGGCGGTAAAACTAGATTTCTAGTCTCGCGTCGCCTGGTTACATCGGAAAAGCGGGCCCGCCACGGCGTGGGTCAAAAGTCCAAAGAAGGATTGCAATACATTGGACGTAGAGAGTCTTTGGTAGTACTAATACTAGGCCTACTACTAGATCTAGATATGATAGGCACAGACTGCAATTTTTTTTAATTGAAAAAGAGTAGACCTACCGTTCATGTAGTGTAGTGGACAGTCCATGTCATAAGTACTACTAGATCTAGATCTAGAACATAAATCTAGATCTAGATAGATCAACAAACATGTCGATATAAATGATACATTCGCCTTAAATAAACAGTGTTTGGCTCTAGATCTAGATTCTCCCACCATACGAATTAACTTAACTAGATTTAGATAATATGTATCAGTAGGATAGTAGAAAAACAAATGAAGAAGTCTAGGCTGAAGCAAATCATAATAATAATAATAATAATAATAATAATAATAATAATAATTATAATAATAATAATGATAATATAATAATAATAATAATAATAATAATAGTAATAGTAATAATAACAGTAATGATAAATGATATTTCATACATTTTATAGCGCTCAACCCCGACTATTGAACACGCGCTCTGGGCTCTTTACAAACAAGTATCAACACGTAAACAATAGATTGTGTTGTGCTTAAAAACCTCAATACGGTATATTTCTTTAATCTAAAAATAGAAATGGCTTCAATTGACTTTTGAAAGCACCTCTCTTAAATCACCATGCAGTGCGTTCCAAGTCTTAGGACAGATGAAATGAAAATGCCTTTTCATTTATTGTTTATAGTTTTATTAAAGATCATTGTAATTTCTTTTTGCTAGCTGATGACTTTAAACTGCCAGCTGGAATGTACAGTTTTGACAGATTTGAGAAATAACATGATGGCGCATTATCATTCAAGCATTACAATTTGTGACATAGAGTGGTCATCCTGTACTTAAAATCTTTTGTCAACAATTCATCATTTCTGATTATCAGTCCCCTTACTGAACGGAGGTCCTTGGGTTGATAATAAAAAAATTAAAATCAAATTATGTTCTTGAACAGGATATAGCTTATCGCTACCTTAGAATTACAAAGTTCTATCTTGCATTTTTTGGGCCGTTTTGAATTACTAAGACCATGAGGTCAGAAACCATAATATTATGTTCTATCTGCCTTATCAAAATCGTAACATTATTAGGAGTCGTTATCAAGATATTCAAAGCATTGCATTTGAAAAAGGTTGACGTGATGTGAAACTCAAAACCTGTGACGTAAAATTTCACAAAACTAGGTAGTCAACAATGTACTGAGTAGATAGAACTTTGTAGTTTTGAGCTATCATAATATAGTAATCGTTGATACTGTCTTTCTTCTGTCTTCAAAAAACAGTAAAAACCACATCGAGTTATCTTCACTTATTCCTCCGCCAAGAGGGATGATTCCAATCTGAGCAAGATTTGAACCTGTTACTCCTGCAAGAAGATTAATTTCAAGCTCATATTCATCTCAGCCATAATGGTGTTAAACATTTGTTCTTCTTTGTATCTGGGGTTTGAGTCCTTGAGGTTCGAAGGAAGGCGAGTGTTGTTTTACAGAGTTAGGGAAGAGATAATAGAAGCGTAAGTAAACGTGTTTATAATCTTTTCCTGAAGTACGATCAGCAAGCCAATCCTTTCAGGGATCCTGTGGAGAAAGGGTGGGGCAGCTATGGCATTGCACTGCTCGCAATGATACCTATTCTCCTACCACCTAAGGAGTAAGTAACAAAGTATAATCCTGACGTAGCTCCTGAACACAACAGTAAACTTAAAACGGTATGGGCTTTTTATTTTTAAAAACAACAAAAAAAACCCGAAAAAAACAAAACAAGCAAAAACAAACAACAACCTTTTTACAATAATGAAATACAAATCAAATGTGCAAATGTGTACATAAATCAGTTTATAATATTAAAATAACATCATGATCTTAGCAGACACTTTGCCACCTCAAAATTACAAAGTTCTGTCTTACATTTTGGGCTGTTTCTGAATTACTAAAAGACCATGAGGTCAGAAACGAGATATTTTATCTGTTCTATCAAAATCGTAAGATTATTCGGAGTCGTTATCAAGCTATTCATAAGAATTATATTGGATAAAAGCTTGACATATTGTGAAACTCAAACTTTTTTACTTCAAATTTCTCAAAACTAAGCACTGGACAGATAGAGCTTAGTAATTCTAAGGTAACGACATATCAAAGTACTATGAGGACTGGTCTTGGCGTCCCGGTGACCCAAGATTCAATGAAAAGTCGTTAGCATTCTCTGCCATTTGGTTTTTCGATGTCGCAGACGAGAGCCTTCTGGTCGCGGAGCTCTGTGATTGGCTGGCTGGCACATCCAATGCTCTGGCCGCTTCTGTTGATTGGCTGGAAGCTTGTGCAGTAATGGGAGACTGGTTGATGCTTGAAACTCGCCGGGCTGAAAGCTGTGCATAAAACAAAAATGTCCCATTTTAGGAGAGCTCAACTTGAGCCTGACATCTATTAATTAAGAAGTATCTATTCAAGACAGATCGGTATCTTTTTTTAGAAAGCAAGACATAGACGAGCTTTAAGTTGATATCAAGAAATGTAAGCATAAGTCAAAAAAGTGATGAGCGCCATAAAACTTTTGTATTTTCCTAGTGTCATGGTGCCGGTGGCCTGGTGGTTAAGCTCTCCAAATCGGAAACCATAAAGTCGTAGGTTCGAATCCCGCTAACAACCCGATGTTGTGCCCTTGGGAAAGGCACTTCACACAAATTTTCCCCACTTCATCCAGGTAGGAATGCGTAACCGGCTGTCGGCAGCAAAGGATCTTGTCGGTTTGTTCATTAGGGTTAGAACGCGTGCAATCCACAGCTTGCACTGTATTCTTCCTGGGAAGCCGAAAATGTGTCCTAGAGTCTGCTGAGTAAATAATGGTTGTAACGCGCATGGAGCATGCAGTAGAGCATGGATGTGCGCTATGTAAATGGAATTATTATTTTTATATGTAATAGAATGCCATCAATAGGTCCATGAGTAACAGTTACAGAATTCACAAAAGTATTAATCAATTCACGAAATCACCATTACATTCAATTGACAAATAAACCAACCACCTAATAAACAAACAATCGAACTAATTAACAAACCAACAAACCTACCAATTAACTTACTAACCACCACGCAAAGCAACCAACCAACCAGCTAATCAAACAACTAACAGGTCAGTTAGCCAATCAGCATACCGATAAACCAGTTAACCAACAGATCGGATAAGCCAGCAACTTTCACAGAATAATTCAATAGCGGTAATTTCTTCACTTGAACCAATCTGTAGGCATGGACATTAGAGCTGATGTCCCCGTCTTTAACTATGGTCTCACTGTGTTGAATGTGGCCTGAAATGGTAACGTCCATGTCCTTATTAAGGTCAGTATAACCTTCTTTCTTCCTTTTCTTTTCTTTTATATACGGTATACGTCCCTCATCGATTAAGTTTAGATCACTCAGGAGGCGAGCTGCTTGGATCCAGCCTATCAAGACCAACCAAGGTAGGGTGGTTGATCATATCTCAGGGCACAGTCAAAGATACTCAATATAAACCTTTCCCGGACACAAACATCTTCTGGGTGCGACGGTAAAGAGCCTAACTGATGCTCGTTCAAGACAAACCAATGCTGGTTCAAGACAAACCAATGCCCTTCGCCCTTCACCCACCGTAGGTCGTCTTGTGGTCGTTCGTCTTCCAGGAGTGGCCGCTTTCCCTTGCTCTTCCGGTTCCTCTTTCTGTTTGGGCAGTTTCCGTTTGTTCGCTGCCTCGCGTACTAATTTCTGGGGGAAGTAAAACAAAACGGATATAAGGCATTATTATCATAGCTCAGCAAAAGGAAACTACAATTTGACACTAGGTTTGTTTTTTTGTTGTTTTTTGTTTTTTGTTTTGTTGTTGTTGTATAGTTGTTTTACTTTTGGGGGATTTGTGGGCTTTTTTTGTTCCTTTGTTCGAATTGACGATCCGATCACTTTTTCCTTTATTTTATGACTTTATGACTTTGTTTTACGCCTACCATCGGCACAGTGTGAGCTTAACTCTTTGCATACAGAAGGCTTTTCCGACTTTGAACGAAGCCAATTTTGTCAATCAATTTTGCAGGGTAATAAACCTCCTATGTAACCCATTTGCATAAAACACACCAATTTGAGAATACAATAAAAGGCTCTTGCAGCAAGCGTGCAGTTTGGTGGATTTCCTGGGGTTCCATAAGTTTTGTTATGACTGTAAACAACAAAGCGATGATGTGTACCAGCTAGACTAGCTCCCCGAATGAAATAGCTTGAAGCAATAATACTAGATAGCAATTATTGTATGGCGCAAATTCCCTCTCAACAGCAAGCTCTGTGCGCTTCACAAGCTATACTACTACCCCAAAAGACCTGATAGCATTTTGAAACAATCTCAACTTCCAGGGAAGCATACAGTGCAGGCTGCCAGTTATAGGCGCTAAAACACAAACATAAGTGATGAGAAGCACATTGATTCAATAAAAATCATTAATTGGAGAAGGGAAACAACAGGTAG